TAGCTCTTTATTATATAGGATAGGTGATCTCATTTTATCACTTTATAAAGAAAACAGGCAATTAGGGTGAGCTCTATCTGCAACACCCTCTGAATTCACCTATCTTATAATTCCTATCAATGAGGAGGGTGATAACTACCAGACCCTATGCATTCCATGCATTGCCTAATTTTCTCTTCACAAGACAGGTGCTAATATGCCCATTCTACATGTGAGAAAATGCATGTTCAGGAAGACTTACCCGCAGCCATCTAGCTAGTAGGTGATGGAGCCAGAGTTCAACTCAAGGTGTATCTGATTACAAAGCTGCATTTCCCCCACTATTTTACTTACCTTCCCTCCCTCATTTCTTTCCTTCCTTTCTACTTTCCTTACCCCATTCTTTTCCCTCCTTCACCTTCCTTTCTTCCTCCCCCTGCCTCCACCTCAGAAAAAGAGATTAGAAATCATGCCTTTCCTTTCTTTATGCCCCAAGGGAACAGCAACTATTGCAGAGAATTTGAGGAGCAAAGAGGGAAGGACTGGAAAAGACTGGAGAGTAGGGGAATGGAAGGATACCAACAATAATGGTATTTATACACTTATTTATCTCAGTCAGGGGAAAGAAGGCAATACACTTTGCCTGACATACTAAATTCTAGATGTCAATGAGATAGCCAAGTGGATATGTCCCAGAGCAAACAATATATACGGAGTCTCTAGACTATAGACATGGGAATCATTCAATTCAACAAACTATTAGTGAGTCATTCATTCACTTAACAATTATTGAACACCTAATATGTGCAAGATATCTGTTTTGTTAACTGTGAACTAGAAGGAACATTTTTGGACCACAAGATGTATAATTTTGGAGGGAAACACCTGGAACATGCTTGGAAGACTGTGGGAAAGACAGAGGTAAAACCAGGTGTTTGTCCTCAAGGAGCTCTGGGTCCGGTGTGGGAAGAGATGAACAAAAACACAAGTGGGTATAATTTTAGGTAGTTTATGGTATGTTTCATAATTTCAGTAGAAATAAAATATGATACGAATGTGAGATTAATTTTGCTTAGAGAGAGATCTGTATGCTGGTGTCTCATTGGTCAATTTAATTATTCATAACTTCTAAGTTAAATTTTGAGAGTGGATGTTGAGAGGGAGGGAGAGAAATGGAGGGGGGGTGAAAGGGAAAGAGAGAAGAGGGGTGGAGATTAGAAAAGGGGAGTGGAGAGAGGCTCTCCGAATAAGCCTTGAGGAAGAGTCCCACTTGGGGAAAGGAGGACAATAAGGAACCAGGGAAGGAGTCTGAAGGAATATCCATAGGAACAGGAGAACCAGAGTAATCCCCAAATCACAGGTACAAAAGTGAGGAAGAGCTTCACAGAAGAGAGCAAGTCTGGACAGCAGCATTGCATAAGGCACAAATCATTTATTCTGGCCTCTAACTTTAGCAGAAGCTAGCTGCTGATTGGGGAACTTTGGAAGAGGTCTTTTCCTGAAGTAGCCACTGGGTGGTAGTGGTGGCAGCAGTGGCAGCTGTAGCTGTTTCCAGTAGAAACCTAGCAGAGTTAAGCCAGTTTGAAGAAATGGGAACCAGGAGCAGGCTCAGTCTGGGGCTTCCCTAGTGCAGTGGATATTGGACTGTCCCTTTAGGTGTATGCCATGCCTCAAATCACACTTGTCCACTGAAGTGGCCACCTCCAAAGTAATGATACAAAATACTTTATGGATTAAACAACATGTTATGGTTTACAAAGTGCTTTCACACCTATTAATCAATTCAATATGCAGGAAACCCTAAATCAGGGGTCCTCAAACTTTTTAAACAGGGGGCCAGTTCACTGTCCCTCAGACCATTGGAGGGCCGGACTATAGTTTAAAAAAAATTATGAACAAATTCCTATGCACACTGCACATATCTTATTTTGAAGTAAAAAAACAAAACGGGAACAAATACAATATTTGTATTTGCATGTGGCCCGCGGGCCATAGTTTGAGGACCCCTGCCCTAAATGGTTGGTATTATTATCCCCATTTCACTGGTGAGGACACTGAGTTACAAAGTGGTGTTCAGGGTCACACAACTCATACAAGGAGGAACAAGGATTTGAATTCAACTCCATTTGTCTCCAAACACCTGATGCAGTATCGCCATCTTTTATGCAGTATCAGCTGTCAGCTGTTCAGGACTCAGGCTACAACTGCTTCCTCCATGCCTACCTTTTATTTGCTCCCCAGCATGACATGGGGCAAAGAACTCCACATTTCTCCCATCCAGGTTTTTGGGCCTTCCAGGATTCTGAATTCTAGATTCTAGAGCAGCCGTGGGCAAACTACGGCCCGCGGGCCGGATCCGGCCCATTTGAAATGAATAAAACTAAAAAAAAAAAAAAGACCGTACCCTTTTATGTAATGATGTTTACTTTGAATTTATATTAGTTCACACAAACACTCCATCCATGCTTTTGTTCCGGCCCTCCGGTCCAGTTTAAGAACCCATTGTGGCCCTCAAGTCAAAACGTTTGCCCACCCCTGTTCTAGAGCCTCTCTTGTAGGCCTGCCTCCTCCTCTCACTTGTAGGATCCAGCTGGGCAGCATTCTGAGGACCTGAAGATCAGGTTCAGAGTCCCCATTGTTTGCCAGTTCCCTTCAGAGTGGATTCTGCTCTAGCCTGCTCCCTTTCCCCAAGCACTACCCACCTCATCCTCAGAGGCCTCCAGGCCCAGAGCTCACCTCCTGTGCTTGAGACCTCTATAATCACGAAGACTGTAGTTAGCCCCAAGAGCCCCGGGCCCAGAACTCCTGACAATTGGGCATTCCTGGACACTTGACTCTCAAACATCTAGGCTTTCTTTGCTATATTCAGACCAGGATTGCCTGTAGTGATAGAGAGATGAGTAGGTGTGTTGGAAGGGATGGAGTCTGTAAGGAAGTTGTCTAGCATATGTGGGGAGGAGAGAACTGCCTCTTTGCTGCCTCCTGGCCATCTCCTCTGACATAAAGTAATAAACATCTTGAAATATTGACAGGCTGAACATTGAACTCCTGATCTTTCCTCTTACAGCTGTCAGTAACTCCATCTCTGTCAACATTAACTCATTCTTCCAGTTGCTCAGGACAGAAATCTTACAGTCATTCTTGACTCATCATCCCTTTTTCACACACCCCACGTCAGGAAATCTGGTCTCTACTTTGAAAATCTAGCCACACTCTGACCACTTCGCACCACTTTCAGCAGCCTGGTCCACCATCATCTCTTTTGGCAACAGCCTTGGAACTGGTCTGCCTCCTGTGTCCCCAGCCCTGCAATCTATTCTCAACCTGGAGCCAGTGATTCTTCTGAAGTGTACATCAGATCCCGACAGTTGCCTCTTCTAAGCCCTACATGGCTTCCTATTCACTGAAAGTAAAAGCCAACGAGTCCTCACAATGGCTTCCAAGGACCTTCATGATCTGGCCCCTGCCAAAGTCTCTGACCTCATTTCTATGTTTCCCCTTCCTGACAACCACCTAGTCTTCAGTCAAAAGTCACCTTAATATTTAAAACAGCAATCGTCTCTATTCCCCCCTTGTTCTTCCTTCAGCATTATCCTTTCCTCCTTTACTTTTCTCCATAATAATGATCAAAATCTATATATTTTACTTGTTAATTTTATCTTTTCCTTCCCACTAGTGTGTAAGCTTCATTAAAGTAGTTTTTGTCTGTTTCTGTTTACTAGAGTTGGGCCAAGTACATAGTTATCTCTCAGGAAATATTTGCTTATCCATCTGTGGTTTATGGCCAGTGGCTTAGAGAGGTGACTAAGCATAGTAATTAAGTACATGGATGATACAGCCTGGTTCAAGGGCAAGCCTGCTTGGGTTCAAATCTTAGTTCTACCACTAATTAACAAAATACTTAAACTCTCTGTGCCTTAGTTTTCTCATCAGCAAAATAGGGACTATAATATTATCACTTCAATAGAGAGCCTGGGGGCCATTAATAAGTGTAAAGCACTTAGTGCCTTGCACAGAGTAGGTGCTACATATGCATTTGCTATAATCATATGCACATGGAGTTAAGATTTATATGAGAAGCTTAGATTTTCTAAAATCTTTCAGTGTGTTGTAGTTGCTCATATTAACATTTATTTCTCATGTTTCTGCTCACTTACACAGACTGTATGATCATCTTGTAGTTTTATTTAACTCAAGTGGTCTGGTTCTTTTTTATCTGTTAACTTAGACGTTTCCTTGTGTACTCTCGCCTACAGTCATTTAGAAGCTGTTAAATAGTAATCTCGCTGGGCCTCTTTTGCAATCTATACAGTGAGTGGGTTGGACTAGATAATCTTGATGGGCCTTTCTTGCTCTGACAGTCTCCCAGGACAGGAGGAGGGACAGGCCCCACCCCAACCCCGCCCCCAGGAATAGGCCCTCTGGCTGCCAAGGGGAAGGGTGACAGAGTCAGCTGGGCTCAGCTTCAAGGGGACCAGGTAGGAGACCTGCCAAGTTACTTGGGTAAGAGTGGTGATGGGGTTCCTAGGCTGGACCAGGCATCAGAAGTAACTGTAGTACAAAGACACTGGGGGCAGGGTGAGAGGATAGGTGAAGTTCCCTAATGGAGAGATGTTCTCTTCACAGGAACACAGCTGCTGTAATGAGCTAGGAGGCAATTAGAGGTTGAGCATCTTCTCACATTGGAGAGTCATAGTAGGCCTCTACCCCCTTCAGCTAGCCAAGCTCTGGAAGACAGAGTCAGCTCTAGAATGAGAAAAACCCAAAAAACTGACTGTCTTCCTGAGTCCCAGCACTGCCTGCTACTCACCACTCCCCTGGCTGGACCAAGGGAGTTTGGGCAGGGGCCCAGGTGGCCTGGGTTATACCCAGATTTACTCCTCTCAGCTCAGCTGATGCTTCAACCATTGCTCTCCCTGATCTCTGCCTCCCCCTGCTACCCCCTGGGTCAGGGCTGGGCGTAGGAGGGACAGGGAAATCCAGTACCCTCACTTCTGCCTTTTTCACCTCTAGGGGGGACCATGGCCAGTGCAGAATCCTCACTGCTCACAACCCTAGGGCCCAACTCAGATCCTGGCAACAGTGAGGTGGAGCTGGACTGCTGGTTTGATGAAGAGTTCAAGTTCATCCTGCTGCCTGTGAGCTACGCAGTTGTCTTTGTGCTGGGTCTAGTCCTCAATGCTCCAACCCTCTGGCTCTTCCTCTTTCACCTCCGACCCTGGGATGCAACGACCACCTACATGTTCCACTTGGCTTTGTCAGACACGTTGTATGTGCTGTCACTGCCCACCCTCATCTACTATTATGCAGCCCGAAACCACTGGCCCTTTGGCACTGAGCTCTGCAAGTTCATCCGCTTCCTCTTCTACTGGAACCTCTACTGCAGTGTCCTTTTCCTCACCTGCATCAGTGTGCACCGCTACCTTGGAATCTGCCACCCCCTGCGAGCAATACGTTGGGGCCGCCCAAGACTCGCAGGCCTTCTCTGCCTGGCAGTTTGGTTGGTTGTAGCCAGCTGCCTTGTGCCCAACCTGTTCTTTGTCACAACCAGCTCCAGGGGGGATACCATCCTGTGCCATGACACCACTCGGCCTGAGGAGTTTGACCACTATGTTCACTTCAGCTCAATAATCATGGGGCTGCTCTTTGGCATACCCTGCGTGGTCACTCTTGTCTGCTATGGGCTCATGGCCCGGCGCCTGTATCGGCCTTTGCCAGGGTCTGCCCAGTCGTCTTCTCGTCTGCGTTCTCTCCGCACCATTGCAGTGGTTCTGACTGTCTTTGCTGTATGCTTCGTGCCTTTCCACATCACCCGCACCATTTATTACATGGCAAGGCTGTTGGAAGCTGATTGCCAGGTGCTGAACATTGTCAACGTGGTCTACAAAGTGACCCGGCCTCTGGCCAGTGCCAATAGCTGCCTGGATCCTGTGCTCTACTTGCTCACTGGGGACAAGTATCGTAGGCAGTTCTGGAAGCTCTGCAGTGGTGGCACCCCCCAGCCTCCCAGGGCTGCCTCCTCCCTGGCACTGGTGTCCCTACCTGAGGGTAGCAGCTACAGGAGGACAACCACCCCCAGGACAGTGGCTGCCCTACCCCTAGGGCAGATAAATTGTAGCACTGGAAGCCTGGAAGGAAGAGAAAAGGGGGTGAGTGCAGGGCAGAGGTGAGGGATCCTAATGGTGACAACTCATATTGTTGCTTCCTCTTCGTTCCAGGGCTCTGGTGAGAGGCCCTCCCTCTGAGGGTTAGGGGGAGCCAGGAAAATCACGTGTGACCCCATCTCTCATAAATCCTTCAGTTGCCTTCTACTTTTTAGCCAAAGGCAGTAGCAGCCACCCTTTCTCCTCTACTTCTTCCTCTTAGTTTCCTGGGGCCATTGGTCCTGTTTCTTGATCCTAGGAACCCTTCCCCAGCCTTCCTTCCCCCTCCTTTCCCCCACATCCTTGTATAGCATGTGTTACTCCAGTCAGACCAGAGCATTCAACTGGAAGAGTGGAGAAGCTGCAGTAATCTCTGGGTTGGCTTGATTTATCTGACGGTGACAGCCAGAATTAGGAGGTAGGGGCACCAGTATGTCACAGATGCCAAGGATGTGACATATGTAGCTCCCATAGCCACTTCCTGGTTTCCCTGTGAGGACAGGATAGTCTGGCCTACTTAGGTGCTGAAATAGGGCACAATCCAAGACAGCCTGAATGCCAGGGTCTCCACATGCAGCTGGAGGCATGGCACTGTTGAACTGGTGTGTAGCTGCTAGGTAGAGAGGGAACCCTGAGTCTTACCATGGGCTGGGAATTTTGAAGAGCCTCGAGGGCATGGCCCAATCTGATAAAGGACTTTGGAACAGGAATGGGACAGGACCTCCTTTATGAAGTTTGCTGAGAGCATATTTGACAGTTCTGCATTTAATGAAAGGACGAGGGGAATGGCTCAGAATGAGAGGGAGGAGCTTTCATGTCTATGGCTGTAAGTTCCAGCATTAAGGGGTAGAGCAGGTTTGTGCAGAGGTTGGGAGTGGTGACAGGGATTGACGTCAGAGCTGGCTCTTCACTGGTCTCTTCCATTTCTCTAGCTCCTGCCCTAGATAAATAATAAACAAGTCACCAGTTCTTTCAGATCAAGATTTATGGTTTTGAGGCCAGAGAAGGGCACTGGGACCAGGACAGCTCCCTTCAGAGTCTCGCATTCAGTCACCCACCCTCTCCCAGCTGCATCTTAGTGCCCTTAAGCATGGATATGGGGGCGGGGGGTATGGAACTTGGGGAGCTAATTCCCAAGCATTGGGAAGTAAGAGTTTCTGGGCAGGCCTTCATGAGAAGGGTGGGCTCACACTTCTAGGCAACTCCTTCTGAAATGGCCTTCCAGCTCATTGGTCTCCTGAGTCTTCAGCCTTCCTTTTCTTTTGCCCTACCCTTGCTGACCTGCCTCTGATCTCTTATCTATTAGCTTACTCAGTCTTACTAGTTCTCTCTGGAAAGTAAAGTTGGGACTGGTCTGGAGAAATAAAATGACTTCAATGCCCCCGAGTCCCCCTTTCTATTCTTTTAAGTGTGCTCTTTTCCTCTCTAGATATCCAGGACCTGGCTGTTACCCGGGACCCCTTTTAGGAGTAAATAAACTGGCCTTCTTACTAGTCTTCCAGTCTTATAGCCACTGCCTAAACTGTTACACAACCTGTTCCTCATCTGTACTCGCTTCCTTTTATTCCTATGACCACAGCCTCCTTGTCCATCACCTCTCCTGCCCACAAGCCCGACCCAGGAAAGAGGCTCTCTCCATCACAACAGACCCAGCCTCCTCCATTTCTCCAGTCCATTTAACTCCCATATGCTTAATCGAGACTAACTCCCCAGACTTTGTGGCCTGCTACTTTAGGACTGCCTTTCCTCTCATTCCAACTTTAGTTAAATACCTTAATTTTCACCGTGGGCCAATCTTTTCCTCTCTCCTAGACTGTAGGAGACAGCAGATGAAGCCAGAACACAAGGATGTCTTGGAATTTCATTTAAACCTCCATCCCTCTTAGTCTGCTGAGATCCTAATGAACATTCCAGAGGGACTGTTTCCTATCTTTTACACTTTTTCAAGACATCAATTTCATCCTACCCTATGATCTGTTAAGATTTACCTTGCCTCCTGGCCATTGGTCCTGTTTCTTGATGCTTCCTAGAACTGAGAAAATCTAATACCTCAACTTCTTTCTGCTTCATTTAGGATAACTTTACTTCTATATCCATCCCATCTTTCTCCCTTTCTTCCCTGCAGTCCCAGAATAAGAGGTGGCCTCTTATTTTGTTATTTTGTGTATCTGTCTTCATCATTTTCAATCTCTTCCGTAACTAATTTTGTTCTGTCTTAAAACACACACACACACACACACACACACACACACACACACACACACGCCAACCAAATGAAAATAAAGCATTACATTACCACTGATATCTTAACCCTGCTGTCTCTTCTAGCTATCATTCTATTCATCTTATTCATTTCACTGTCATTTCTAGAATGAGTGCCATAAAACTTGTTTCCTCACCACAAAGTCACCCCTTAACTCTCTTAATTTGGTTTCCTTTCTACACTTTTTTGTATCTAGAACACAAATTACCTCATAAGCAAGACCTTTAATGATCTTTTCTCTACCTTTATTGTCTTTGACTTCTCTAGGATGTCCTTGTTGCATATTTTTTTAAAAATATTTTTTGTGTATTTTATTTTTAATATTTATCTTTATTGCTGAAAGTATTACAGATGTCCCCTTTTCCCCCTATTGATTCCCTCCACCTCACTCCCGCACGCCCCCGCCCCCCCCAAGGCCTTCACTGCACTATTGTCTGTATCCATGGGTTATGCACATATGCATGTAAGTTCTTTGGTTAATCTCTTCCTGTATAAAAACAGCACTAAAAAATTCCACTATGACAACATTAAAGGAAATTTTGAAAGAAAATAATCACCTATACTTTCAAGCCCTCGACAACTGCTTTCATTTTTTCATGTTCCATGCTTTTTCAGTTTGTATAATACATACATATTTTATATAAGTATAATCATCGTGTACATATTTTTTGAAATTCTGCAAAAATATTTTATTGTAAATAGTCTCTTTGTGCTACAGTCTTTCCTGTTTATCATTTTCAAAGACTGTATAAAATTACATCTATCAGTAGATTATACTTTATTAGACTATTCCCCTGTTATTGGACATTTAGGTGACTCCCAGTTTTTCTGTGCTTTGAATATTTTAATGCATACGGCTTGTTTCTTCTTTGTAATTCTGTTCCTAGGACAAGTTCCCAGGAGTGGGACTGCCAGATCCAAGAACATGAACGGTTTTATGGATCTTGATTTTCAAAAGGACTGCACAAATCTGCAACGCCACAATGACACATGAGTTTTTCCAGTTCCCTTACAGCTCTAGCATTGGACTTGATAAATATTTTGGAGTGATTTAAACATTAATTTGTTAATTCCACTGCTCTGGCTACTCATGGGATTGAACACTTCCCCATATGTTTACCATTTGCATTTCCTCTTGTGTTAACTATTTGTTCATATCCTTCTTCAACTGGCATTTCAGTGGTATTCTTATGTATCTAAATATATTCTTTAACATACATATTAACCCTTTGTCATATTTGATATATATATTTCTTCCATTTATTGTAGTACTTTTAATTTTAGTTTCTTATTTTATCCCCCTGATTTAAAATTTATCTACTTCTACTTTTATCTCTCTTATTACTTTCTCTCTCTTTGCTGGATTCTCTTTATCCTTTACTCCCTAAAGTGAACAGAATTCCACGTTCTGTCATAGTTATAGCATTTGGGGATTATTTAACCCCGTCCCCCATCCGATCCTTGATTTTCTTTTGGAGAGAACATATATGCACATGAATACAACTTAGTTGACTTATAGTCCTTGAGTACCTCAGAAATCTTCCAGGGCCTGGGCACTCCCTCACTTTACAGAGGACAAAACAGGCCCAGAGATATGACTTGCCAGTGACTTATCAAATTAGTGACAGAGCAGGGACTAAGTTTCAGGTCTCCTGATTCCCAGAATTCCTTCCATAAGCTTGAAAACTCTCAGGCAACTTCGTCTCTTCTCCCTCCCTGTTCCATGAGATTCTGGCATTTCTTTCTTCATCATGTCAATTACAATTTTATGATCCCAGTGCTACCATTCTAATACTGGTTCTTGTCACTTTATCTTTGACTGACTGTCTCAGCCTCCTAATTGGTCTTCCTTACCTCCAGTCCCTCCTCACAAGATTGCATTCTATACAATGCATACTGCCAGATGAATTGGCCCAAACACTGCTTTCACGCTATTACTCAATACTCTTTCATGGTACCCCCATGTCTACAAGACAAATTTAAATTCTTTAGTCAGAAATTCAAGAGGGCTTTTTCAGTCTCATTTTCTATTCTTCCCCAATACAAATCTATCTTCTTCCACTCATTTGATCTCCTCATTCTTTCTCCAAATAAGACTTGCACTTTCCTACCTCTGCATCTTTATTTTTCCTTTGCCCCACACTAGAATGCCTTCCCTTTCTTCTCCCACTGTCTTTTTCCTACTTCGTTACCAAGGCCACTTCCTCTTTGACACCTTCTCTGCAGAATCTCACCCAGTGAACTTTCTGGTCACTCCTATGGTTATTATTGTCTATGAGTCATTTGTCACTTTTTATTGTCTTTTGCTATCCTATAAAAGGGTAATATGCAAATTGACCAAACGGTGGAATGACTGGTCGCTATGACATGCACTGACCACCAGGGGGCAGATGCTCAATGCAGGAGCTGCCTCCTGGTGGTCAGTGCGCTCCTACAGGGGAAATGTTGCTCAGCCAGAAGCTGGGCTGATGGCTGGTGAGTGCAGTGGTGGTGGGGGGAGCCTCTCCCACCTCCACAGCAGTCGGACATCCCCCGAGGGCTCCCAGGCTGTGAAAGGGCACAGGCTGGGCTGAGGAGACCTCCCCCACCCAGTGCACTGGGTCTCTAGTTACTTATACTATTATCTTGAATTCTTATTTAACTCTTGATGTATGTCTGTTTGGGTTCCCACCTGTAAACACCTTGAGTTACTGTGATAGAAAGAAAAGAGCA